GAGGCAGCTGACAATCTTAAGTACGGTTCTTTACAACAATCTTTGCTTCTTGAAAATGGATAGCTTTAAACACGAACCAGAAACAAGCCACTGAAATACCAGGAAAAAGGATTTCGCACTATTTTCTTGGCAATCAAATTGAATGTAACAAAATTAAATACCATGCTACAAAAATCTAGACCTTGCTGTACTTCTTTCAACCAAACGGGCCATGAAAAATTCATGCTCAGTCCACTGCAAATGGCTTATCGTTAAATTTGAGATACGATTGCCTTTCGAGAGGTAAATTCCACAATCACAAATTTTAAGACAGAAATTTCAACTTTTTTTTTTCCCCCAAATGGAATCGGGCTTTTACACCTTTGACCAAAAAGCACTTAGCCAAGGTGATTAGCATATTCTCTCTGGACTGGATGGAATCAATATCCAGCCCTGGAGACTGGACACATTTGCTTTTTAGTGGGAGGTAAATGGCCCCAGGGAAGCTGTCTGAGAGAAGTGGAAGAAGAGTATGTTCACAGATAAGGGAGGTCAGGGCTCAGGAAGAAGGAAGCCTATAAGTCACTACTGCTGTTATCTTCACATGACCAAAATAGCTAGCTGGCACTGATGTGCGTACCTGAAGGTCAGGTTCCTCACAGCAACATCTAGTGAGGGGCTACTGTGCGCCACTCACAGCATTATCTGCACATTAAGTAACCTATTGCACAGGCCAGCAAACTGAGGTTCAGAAAAGCGGGTATAGACCATCTCAGAGAGCTTACAGCAGAGTTAGAAAAGTGCTCATTCAATACACCCAGCTATAGAGAATCTGAGATAGGAAAATTTGTAAAAAATGTCTAAAAAATTTACAACCCAGTAACAAAATACACAGGTAAACCGACATCCCGGAGATATGGAGAAGGTGACATGGCAATGCAGTGGGCAACAGAAGGAGGGTCCGGGCAGCAATAGGAGGGACACTGCAGAGGGGACAGGCAGATCGAGGGGTCCTGAACCGATGATGGTGGCTTCTGCAGGTACATAAAGACAGAATAAGGCTTAACCTGGATCTCTAGGTTGTCCCCAGAGAACGGGGACACAAACAGCTAGTATGGGGGACCCTGGAGCTGGACAAGTGCAGTGGACAGGAGTTAGACATCAAGAATCACGTCTGCAACTGGGTCCATCTAATTTCTCCAGCCAGGCACGAGGCCAAGACCTCTGTGAGGCCAAAAGCCTCGCCCTGGATTCTAGCAGAGTGGCGTATGCCTGGAATGACTTAACCTCAATCACCAAGGGCAGTTATTTCTTCTTCATCAGTATGCTCAGAGCTGGCCCTGAGCGGATGGCTACAGGAACTACTGGTAGCTCTTCATTTCTATTAGCCTACTGAAACGTCAGAAGGGCCCAACGAGGTAAAGTCTATTGACCAGCCCAGCCCCATTTTACAAAGAGGAGGGTTGAGGCCAGAACACGCATCTGCTAAAGGACACTTCGTGAAATTCATGTCCCCACAAAAACATGTCAAACGTAAGTACAAAATTAGGTTGCTAGGCGTCTTCTGTGTCCCTAACAGTGAGCAGGCTCCTTCTCCACCACCATGAGTGAATGCCACAGACTCCCCGGGAGAGGACACACAAGCTCATAAGCCAGCTTCTCAGCCATTGCATGGCCTCTGCCAGTGCCTCTCCTCCGACCTGGGTCCATCCAGTGACATCTGCCACTGAGAACGCACGTCCCAGCTGCTAACCCCCAAGGTGTTCAATCAGCTGCCAAGACACCAAGATGGAACCCTCCTCAGTTGCCTGGGCTGCCTTCTCCTGCTGCCACCAACCCCACCCGAGGCAGTACTGATGACGTCACCTACAGACTCCACATGCCACACCTCCTCTGTGAGTCAGTTCTCTTGAGCTTTTTGCTTTTATTCTTAATACACTGCAGTCTTCTTGGGTTTCCAACATGACTCCAGGAGGAGTTGACCTGGAAAGCCATCCAGGGAGTTGTCTAACTGCTGCCCTGGATCTATCTCCGCCTTAACACCTATTAAAGCCTGGTTTATGTCGGCACTGCTCCATTTGACCGGGGACCCCTTCAGGCAAGCACTAGGAGGTGTGACATTCACAGATGCAGGTTGCTAGTGGCATTGGCTTTTCAGGTCAGTGCATGGAGTATGAACCTTCTAATCCCGTTGTGAGCTCTCTGAGACTGTACGCGGCTCTTTTTACTTCTCTGTTCCTCGGTTCCTTGTCTAGTAAATGGGCTAACAGTATGAACTCCACAGAGACGCTGTAAGACTGGGAAGGCTCTTAGAGCAATCCATAGCACACAGTAAGCACTCAATAAACACTAATTGTTATCATGAACGTAATTCCATACACATACAGTTGACATATACATATATACATGCATATGTGTCTGCATGCACATGCATGGATTTTTTCATTGTTTTTCTTTTGTTTCATTGAGATACATCTGGCTACATTGCCCAGGCTGGTCTTGAACTCCTGGCTTCAAGTGATCCTCCCACCTCAGCCTCCTGAGCAGCTGGGACTTCAGCCCTGGCACTTTTTGTTTCGATGCTATAGGAAAAAGCGACGGCTACTTACCTTTTGCATATCTCCTGTCCAACTGTGTCATCCCATAAAAATGAGGTCTTTCCAAAGGTCCTTGGGCAGTCATAAAAAGAAACTTGTGGAACATAAAACACCAGACCTGCAGACAGGTTCAAACATGTCTGGATTCAAAAGTATGAATGAGCAGAGATAAGGCCCGACCCCTAATACCTAATACCGTAACCATGAAAAGTCATCTTTCCCCTTGAATTTAAAACCGCCAACTGGAAAAGATGCATGTGCCGTGGATGGGCGGGCTGTGCTTCTGCACAGCAACAGGAAGCCTCCAGCTGACCCAGGGCTGCTCTTTCCCCCCACTCAAGGGCTGCTCAGGAATCGCGACAGCATGTCTTGCGTTTTGGTTGACACCCCAGCATAAATCCAGCTCATACCAGACGGTGTGATCTCACCCTGGGACGCCAGCCAGAGGTTTCTCCCGAGATCTCTGAGGTTATCAGATCTGCAAAGTGCTTTACTTGCTTTCTCTTTTAGCCCATTTTTAGCAAAACAAAAGGTAGCACAGACCACAGGAGACACGAAGGTACAATCAAAAATTGTCCACACTCCATTACCCTAAATTACCTGACGATGCATAAATATTCATTGTTCCCTGATTTCAATAGAAAGTAAACAGCTACTAAAAAGGATCTGATCTTTGTCATGCTTTTAATCTCTTCCGTTTCTCTTATATCAGAGAAAGAATATTCCTGCTTCCTGACCAAAGGGTATCTCTCTAATACAACCTCAAACAAGCCCCATCCCAAGCCTCGATTCCTTGTTCTAACTTTACTTTCTTCTTTCTTTCATCTATCCATCAACCTACTGTAACCCACTAATTGCAGTGCACCCCAGTTCTCTACAGGATATCTCTATCAGTGTGCCTGAGAGGGGAAGCTACAGTTCCAAGGCGTGGATGCATTGCCCTGCCTTTGTTAGCTGAATGATATCGAGCACATCTCTCTGCTTTTCTGGGTCTAAGTTTCTGCACCCATAAAATGAAGCTACGCCCTGAAGACCTTGACCACCCAAATTCTCACAAGGTCATTAACCCACAGGGATTCAGATACAGAGCAAAACACGGACTCCAGAAGGGCTGACTCCACTCCCAGCACCCGGTGTGAGCTCTGAGAAGCACACCCGTGTGGGTGCAGGGCCCACCTTTGGAAAAAAGATCAAGGCAACTGCAGGTGGGAGAACCCACCTCTCAACCCCTAGTGGAACTGAAAAGTGTGAGTGCTCACAAGCACATGGGGACAGAGCTGGTGAGGAGCCCGGCGACGTGCCCGGCGACGTGAAAAGGGACCCGACATCATCCCATGGCGTCAGGCCGGGTATTTTTGTATCTTTTGTGATTGGAAAAGGCAAATTGGGCAGACAGGGTGTTTTTAAGGGAATGGACAATTTATTAGATGCTATAAAACACAAGTAATCAATAAATAATATTTCAATGGAACCCAGCTTCTTTCCCCAGGTTCTCGTTAGGGAAGACCACACTGATGCCAAAGCGGGCTGCTTGGCTTTTCCACTCCTCTCTGTGAAGTCTCCTGTGTCGACTCACAAACTGGGAAGGAAGCTCAGAGCAGAGGGGGCCACAGCGTGACGGCCCAGCCTGGAGGAATTTAATCAGTTAATGTCTCAGGATCCACCGGTCCAATATTGACAGCTCACAATCAATGCAAGAAGCCACTCTCTAAAATGGATTCTTCCCCCTTGAATTTGAGACCTGCAAGTGGGTGTTGCTGGACTTCCCTGGAAACCTTCCAGATGCGCACTTCAGTCTCAACTGTGTGGATTGGATTCTGTTTCTAAAAAACAATAGTGAATGGGTTTGCTACTGGCTATTAAGTCTGCTTTCAAGAATAGTTTGGGTATTCCTCGCGAGGAGACTCTTGTTATTTCCATCATGTTAATTTATTTTCAAATTTTCCCTTTCCCCCTCGGTCGGTCTTCAATCCCCTCTCTCGGTGGTGTGCCTAAGTGCTCAGGTAATATACATACAAATGCTTCGACAGACAGATGGGCAAGTACCATCTCCTGGTGCCCATGCCTCTTAGTGAGAAAAGCACCCAAAACAGAGTGCAGCGATTCCACCCCCTCAAGTGCTATAATCATCTCTGCAGGGGGTAGTTCTGTAGCACCACGGATATATAAATTAGGACTACCAATAACGCTTGACAACACAATGAAGTGAACACAGTAATATTCCCTTCTCTAGCACACACATAAAACCAGAAAAATTACAACCAGTAGCGAAATAAAATTGTTAAACCATTTTTGCAAAATCAGTGCTATTTTGTTGTTTTCTTTTTTTTTTAATTCAGAAACATGATTTTCATGTAGCTGAACATCCACTCCAAGAGTGTGAACCTCCGAACAGAAGATTTTCTTAAGCTGTAGGTTTCTTACCAGCTTTGGAGATCATTCTCACGGGCACAGCTTGTCAGGTATATGTGCAAGAAATCTCTACTCAGAGGCTCACCACAACTGGATAGCTCTTATTTAATTCCTGAAAAACAAAAAAGAAAAGGCCATCAAAGATAACTTATTATCATCCTCATTTCCAGTTGAGGAAATTGAGGCAGAGAGGTAAAATAATTTGCCAAAGATCACATTGCTAGTAAGCGGTCAGCGTAGAGTCTGAACTTGAGAACTCTGCTTCCCGGAAGTAGTACAGGATCCTTAATTTCAAAAGGGAGAGGGAGTGGGCATAGCTCAGTGGTAAAGCATATGTCTGCAAAAGGTAGGGAGCCTCACCTATTATTTGCCCTACATCTTATTACAAAGGCCCGACTAACAGCATCCAATCCTGAAAGAGTTGGCTATAAATACATGGTAAGGACTTGAACTTTGCCCATGAGACATTTTCTCCTTGAATTGGGGCTCTGGCCAGCCTCCCTTGGGATGTTGGGCTCAGGGAAAGCCTGGGGCTGTCTACCCACCCATTCACCTGCTTTCTGTTATCCAGAGATATCCTGCCTCCCAAACGGCATACCAAAATAAATAAATAAATAAATGTCAAGGCCGTGGATATTTACATCTCATGAACCTGAAGGTCAGTTCAAAAGGGCACTGGTTATTTATGGGACTGCTTTAGTCACCTAGGGCAGATGGGAGAAAGGAAGCGCTTGGACCTGTTCCCATTTTATCTTTACAACCTCTAATAGAAGTAGTTGACTGCTGACTGCTAAGGCATTCCAAAGTGAAAGGTGAAATTAATACTTTTAGCATTAAAAATATTGCTTGTGGCAGTCCATGTGCATGAATCTAATGTTCTCAACACCACGAGTCAGAAGACCCTCCTGTGACACTCCAAATAATGAGCAGCTCCAAAGTGGTGATGTCCTTTTAACCGTGGGATAATTTTTGTTTCTAGATGCCAGATCTGGAATTTTTTCAAAGTAAAAAAAAAGAAAAGAAAAAGCACAGAAGCCTGTATCTAGAGCCACTGGTAATGAAACAAACCACCTGAACATTTTCAAATGCCCTACGCAACTCTCCTAGAGTGCTTCTGCATTATGAAAAGAATCCCCAGATCTTGCCCTCGCCAAGGCCTGCTAAATACACAGGAAAGAAAGTCTAGAGTGTTTTGTGAGGGTGGGAGAGGTGCTAGGGACCAAACCCAGGGTCTTGTGTATGCTAAGCACATACTCTATTCCTGAGCTGCACCCCAGCCCAAGAACAAACTCTTTATCCATCCCCCCAATTGCATCAACTCAAAACTGAAGTTTGTGTAAATGAAGGAGTCCAAGAAACAGAGGCCAGTATGGCAAGTACACTCCATCCCTCAAAACATGTTGCTGAATTTGTCATCACACTCCAAATGACAATAATTCTTTGACTTTATAAAAAGAATTCTGGTTCAATAATTAGGCCACTAAGTTTTCCAACAACCCAAGAACCTCAAGAAACAAAAAGCAGGAGGAGAGCTGTAAACACCATCAGAGTGTCCCCGGCTTTGACCAGGATGGAGACACTAACCTGTCAACAGACATCTCCTGGAGAAAATAAAAAGGGAAATTCAGAAGACTCTTCTGCTTGCAATTAAGAGGTATGTCCAGACAGTATCAAGAGTTGTGTTCTTCCATTTGAAACCCAAGTTTTATCTTCCTGTTTTGACTAGTGGGCTCTTGACGAAGGCTTGTGGTGTTATAAATTATCCCATTACTCACTCCCTCAGGTAACCCTGCTGGAACAGGAAGGAAGTAAATCTTGGAGTGGTGCACTTATATCCCTTAATCATACCCAGGCATGCCCTCCAAGGCAGTAAATCACCAGCCTGCACACATCACCATGATTCACACCTGCAAAGAGCAGAGATGACAGGTACTGAGAAGGACCATGCCAAAAGAAGGGCATCTGGATACACGAAAATTAACAAACTGCGGCAAACCAGGGCTGGCTCTTCCCTGACAGCCATCACTCCGGCAAGTGTGTCATTCTAATTAAGGGTCATCAGCCATGTTAAAGGCAGATTTTATAGAGCAAAGCTTTCCAAACCGATTCCAGGACTCAGTACAATTTCTAAGCTTTTCTAAAGCTAAACATCGACGTCGTATTCACCCACTCGGGCATGACTTTAGTTAGGACCATTGGTCCTATGGTTAAGCTAGCTGACCATCCTCTCAAACTCTTGAGGGTAGACACATGACCCACCATATGTTTTAAGATGCTACCTAACTATAATCAAGAGCTCATCTAACTTTACAGAGAAGCAGGAAGGAATTAAAACATGCCATCAACACTGGAGAAAAAATATTTGAGGTTACCCTATCTTCTAAGACGAGGCACCCATTCACTACATCTGGAACAGAAAGAGGAAAGGGGGGTTTTCAATCATCAAAGAGCCTTCTTTTACTCCAATTACAAAAGAATGCAAATTGCTTCCAGGTTGGTGTGAACGGTACAAGTCGGTATGGATTGTCCCATGCAGTACAGGATGCCACCGCTTCCACTGGCCTTGGGAGAACCTGTCGCAGAAGCACCTGCTCAGTGACCGTAAGCATAGATCTCTAGCTATAGAGGCAAGCAAGCGCCCCACCCTGCTCCTGCCAGGCACATGCCAACAGAACAAGACCAGATGATAGGAAACCCCTCCTGCAGGCTCTTGTCAACCTTTACACCGCGAGACTTAACTTTTTACATTTGACTCCTTGACGTGTGTTTTACATCATTCAAACTTTTGGGACGAAAACTCACACACTAGGGGAAGAAATGATGCTGTCTGAGCTAGGATCAGGCCAGATGGACAGAAGGTTCTACTCTGCCTTCAGTGAGATGGTTACCCAAAGATCAGCCTCTGAGCTGGCCAAGGGCGGGGATTTGCAAGACAAAGAACAACAAGTATTTTTGACAGCTGTGCATATATACATAGGATAGAGAGCCAGAAGTCTCCTCTAAATAAGAACCAGCGTGGCACATTTAAATAGAGTAAGGTAAGTGAAAATAGATTTTTTTTTCTGTAAAAGAATGAACTCAATGCGACCACCCTTTTAAGTTTGCATTATTTATTTATTTATCTTATTGATTTTAAAGGGCTTTCTAATAAGATTGCCCGTCCTCCGTGGTAAGGCCAAAAGCTCTCTGACTGCATGGGAATGAGCTGTGGTCTGCTCAACTTTCAGCACGAGACTCTCTCACCCAGACTGTATCATCCTTATATTAAAACAAAAGCATCTCCGTGGACCTGGGGGATGTGCTGTGGGAACACTACTGACCGCACTTTAGCCTGGATGGGATGCTCACACAGACAAAGCCCAGGCCGGCTCATAAAAAGCATCCACACTAAAACGCACAGAGATAACCTCGATGGCCACTCCTCCACGAAACCCGAGTGCCTGGGGTCACTTTGACCCTACCAGGGGCAGGAATGACTTTGTGGTTGCTCTATCTACATTTTTAATCACATTTTTATTTCACCTCCAGCTTTAAAACTGATCAAATGGAAGGAGGCCTTCTGGGTAAACACTCCCCCTGACTCTCATTGGGGTTGGGAGAATGTCATTTCTAGACCTAAAGAACAATGCAACATGAACCACAGATGCCAGTGTCTGTCAGATACAGAGTGTCCACAGATTAACCCATGGCCACCTACCCCTGCACGGCACCCCTGATGCACTCACAAGCCGACAGAGGGAAGACGCCTTTTAGCTAAAAATGGAGATGTCAGGCAGCTGCTTGTCAGACTTTAAAAATGATCCTTGGGAAATCTCAAGGGCTTATGCTCCCTAAAACAGCAAATACATGCTTTATTTTTTTCTTTTCTTTTAATGTAATAGCAGTCAACCACAGTCAAGGTCAGAAAAAGTGTACTTGGCCACCTGAATAACTCTACCATATTTGGTATTCAAAATTAAAAGGCAGAGAGTTAAAAGTGGTAGTTAAGTGCTAGATCTCAACTTAAAAGTTTAAAATTGGGGCAGGACATAAACCAAAATAAGGACGCCTCATTTAACGGCAGTTAGTCAGCTCACTTGTTAAGTGCACTCTGATTCATACACACAGTCAAAAAATAGGACTCCAGCTGACAGAGAGCAGCCAGCGTCGCGGCAGACATGTTTACTGAGCCATTATGTAGGCGCGGAACTGTCCTGGAACTGTGAGGCTTGCCCCAAGCAGGGCCAAGAGGAACTGAGCATCATTAAAACAGCGAGATCCATAAAGGCATAGGAGGGCAAGAGTGCAGTCAGCAAAACGTCAGTAAGTCACCTCCTTGACTCTGTCCTGCTCTTGAAACGCAGCCCTCGGACACCGTGTGCCCACCACACAGAAGGCACCAGAAAGGGGGCCCCCAGCCTGCAGCCAAAATGACAGCCTAGGTAGAGCTTGTGGGTTCTATAAATGGTGGCGTGAGATTCGGGTTTCATTTTTCCGTCTAAATAAAATGTCCCTGGAAATGTTCTCCCGACACAATGGAAGCACCGAAGATTTATAGACAGCGTGGTTCACCAACTCTTTTTGCTCCAGAGCAGTTAAAGGACGACTAGGTCACGAGGCCCTCCTACCTGCCACTTGGCTGCTATACAGAGGCTGGGTCCACCGTTGACCCAGGATGTGTTTCCTGGGTCCACTTCGGCACCAAACAATAAACCACAGACACTCAACCAGAAAATCACCATCTTCCAGAGCATAAAACCGTATTTCTAACACCCAGATGATAAAGTTTGGGGGAGGAATGAGAAGGGTTGGTGGTGTGTGGGAGCAGAGAGGAGACTTTTTACATGGCCCTAAGGGTATTGTTTAGGTTTCGTGAAGCTCAGACTGAAAAACGGCCCAGTGCTAGCCTTGCCTTCAAGGTATCAGTGTGAGCTTTCAGCCGAAAATCATTGTGGGTTACTGGTGAGTGTTTTGTGTCAGTAGAATATACACAGGTTTCGCCCACCACCGACCAAAAATGTTAATGACTCGAGAGCCAGGCAGGGAAGCCTAAACATGTCTCTGTATCTTTGTCCTTTTGTATAACAAGCCGCTAAAGAAGTTCAAAGAGACTCCGTGTTATTCCAGAGCCCT